GGACCCTGTCTGTGCCGGTCGCACCGGCCGGCCCCGCCTGCAGCCTCCTGTCTGTGCTGGGTCTGCAGGTGGCCCCCTGGGTGCTGTGGATCATTCACAGAGACACTGCTCATTTTGTCATCCCCCTCAGCCCTGGGCCACAAACCAGGTGGCCATGAGGAGTCCCAGACACCTGGGCTTGGGGCCGCTTCAGTGGCTTTCTGGGCGCTCCCAGAGGACCTGGGCCTGTGCTGAGGTCAGGAAGTCACCACTGTGGGCTCAGGGGTCTTGTTTCAGAAGCACAGGCAGGAAGCCATTGCTGCAGGCTCCTAGGGCACCCGATGGCAGGTGTGCCCTCCGCCTGCCACCACCTGAAGCCCAGTGTCTACACGGCTCCCCTCTTTTTTTTTTTTTTTTTGGTTTGGTTTTTTGAGACAGGGTCTCACTGTGTAATCCAAGCTGACCTTGAATTGGCAGTAATTCTCCTGCCTCAGCCCTCTGAGTGCTAAGACTGCAGGTGTGGGTCACCACGCGCAGCTCTTACTTGGATTCTGAGGTGTGTCTGTCCTGTAACCATCCGCTTAAGATGTCCCTGGAGTCTGACGCAGTCACTTACACCCAGTGTCCCAAGAACATCCTCAGTCTGGGAAGGAATGACATAGTGTCATTTGTGTCCAGACTTTGCAAACACCTGGGCAGGCATGCAACATTGTGTCTTCGGAAATGTTGACCACCTCCCACTGCTCCTTCTCTCCCTGCCCACTGACCCCGACAGGGGAGTCGGGGGTCATGTCCTTACTCTCTCCGTGCATGTGCAGAGCCAGCAGGGTTTGGGGTGCAAGTGCTTCCTTGCTGTTCCACTCTAGGCCAGTGAGGCTCAGAGAGGGTGCAACCTTGGCAAGGGCTGCCCAGCCGGCAGCAGGGAAAGACCTCAGCCTGCTGGGTCTTGGCTCTGTCTCCGCCCACCTCCCACCAGGCCTTGAACAGACCCCTCCCTGCCCTTCCTGTGGACACACCCGTGGTCTGTCACACGGTCCTTAGGGAGTCCTGTCTGTCTGTAGTGGCACCTTGCCTTCTGTTCAGTCACTCCTAGCTCCTTGGCTTAATCTACATTAAGGTATCCCTGACCAAGCCTGGGCACTGGGCAGGGATTTACTATTTTTAGTCAAAGTCAGGGGAGCCCTGTAAATCCCGTTACTGGGAGGACCTGAGGAGGTGGGGCTGTGCGTGAGGGGCACGATGCGTGTGCAGTAGGGCACGCTCACCAGGCCTGTGTGGTGTCCTTCTGTATAGAGAGCCCTTCCCGGTCCTCCTCCGGGCCCAGGAAGTCTATATTTGTAATCTCATGGGAACGTTATTGGAATCCTATCGGTTAATTCCAACCTGTCACTCCCAGTGCAACCCATGGCGAGAATAAAGACACCAGGACATATTTGTCTTATGGGGAGCCAAGGGGTCCTAAGTCCAGCCACGATGGTGGCCATCCGGAACAAAGGCCTCAACCCAGGGCCGAACCTGGGTTTTATTTATTTTTTTATTATGATTCTTTTCTTTTTTTTTTTTTTTGGTACTGGGAATCGAACTCAGGACCTTGCGCTTGCCAGGTAGGTGCTTGTGCCGTTGAGCTATATCCCCGGCCCCAAACCTGGGTTTTATTAATTCGTGAAGAGGGGAGTGGCTTGGGGATGAGTGACTGTGAGAATGGTAGGGAGTACGTGAGCGCTGTGAGCTGGGCTGGGTAGGAGGTCTGAGATCACCTCTGCAAATGCAGAGAGAAGGGTGTGCAGAAAGAGTAAGCTGCACGTCACAACTGAGATAGTATCTAATGTTTTGGGGTCGGTGCTTCAGCTCTGAGGTGTCATCTTTTGTGTCCTGGAAAGTCATCGCTTCTTATCTCGAGGCTCCATCCCAGCGGGCGGGTTCTCCTTCCCGCCTCGCGCCGGCTCACACATGGGAGCTACAGGGGCGGGGCAACACTGCCCGGTCATCTTTGCTGCAAAACTACACATCAGCACCTCCACCGGACCAGTCTGCATTGCCTAAAGCCAGTGAAAGGGATAAGAAAAAGTGCTCTCTGGCTCTACACATATCAGTACACAGAAATAGGGTCAGGTTCGGCCAGAATGGAGACAATTGCTCCTCCTTCAAGGAGAGCCGCCCAGGTGCCCTCCACAATTGTGCTGCTGTGAAGTGTCCGCGGGGGACAGAGTGGCGTCTATCCAGCGGCTGAAGTCGATGTTGCCCTCACAGCTGAGTCACATTCAACTGTGTGCTTCCTTCCCAGGCTCCTGCGCAATTCAAGTACCCATTCTCAGGGTCTCGCTGTGTGGCTCAGGCTGGCCTCAAATCACAGTGACCCTCGTGCCTCAACCCCTCGAGTGCTGGGATGACAGGTGTGTACCACCATGCCTGACAAGTCCCTGTGTTAAAAACTACGTGAAACACAGAAAAGGCACAATCAGCGAGCAGACAGTTGGGCGCCAGGGCGAACTTGTCTCCCTGCGGCTTTGATCTCCAAGGCAGGGACGTGGTCTTTGATGTCCAATCTTGCGGGGCCAGCTGAGTCACTTGGGAGGGTGTTCGATGGCCCTGAGCCAGGGTTCATTTTGTAAGAGAGCCTGGGGCCCAGGGTCACACAGGCAAGGACCAGTGTGACAGCAGGTGCCCACATCTGGTAGGTACCACGGAGTGGGCTGTGTGCCAGGTGCCGGTGGTCACTCGTGGCATCTTCGTGGGACCGTGAGGCACTTCTTGGATTTCGCTCATTCTTCGGGCCCTGAAATGGAGCCCAGGCAAGAAGTGAAGAATGGCAGCCGCTATCCCACCATCTGGCAGCTCAGCAATATTTTATAATCAAATGAGTAAGGCGGCTTGTTGCACACCACACGCACGCTTGCCCTCTTTCCCCGTTTCTCCCCGCCTCTCCCTCTCTGAGACACAAGGAGCTTTGTTCCCAGGAGGGAAGGCACTTGCTTCTCAGCTCTTGCCACTTGCCAGCTGGGTGGCCCTGGGCAGCCCTCAGATCCCCACAACCTTGATTGTGTCTTTGTGAGACGGGGGAGCCTCTGTGTGGGCTCGAGTGAGATTAATACCAAGCGTGTCGTGCAGGATGCTGTTTGCTGTCTGCCCCAGAAAGACTTTAGAAGCCAGGCGTGGGGACAATTGCCTGTTGTCCCAGACTCAGGAGGCTGAGACAGGGGGATTGCACTGAGTTCAAAGCCAGTCTGGGCTTCATAGTGAGACCCTGTCTCAAACAACAACAAAAGCAAACAGACAAAAAGAGACTTTAGTTTTTCCACATGTAAATGGGATGCATGTATGTTCCCTATATGCTATTTAGAAAATACGGAGGAGCTGGGAAAGAAATTCATCATTTACAGTGGTGCCTTGGTTCACAAACTTAATTCTGCCCACATTTATGGTCACAACCCGAATTGGATGAGAACCAAGTCAAATTTCCCCATGAGGTTAACCTTGAACCTAGCCGCTGAATTTGACGCGGTTCTCATCCAGTTTGGTGGAAAGTGTTGAGTTCGTGAAGCGAGGCAACACCATATAGCCGCCCCCCACCAAAGAGGCGGCCCCTGCAAACGTTCCGCTGGATTTTCGGAGATTTCCTGAGTAGGCTGAGTGCACAGATGGCCTGTGTATCCAAAGCAGAAGGAATAATTGTGGAAATAAATGGGAGTGTGTGTGTGTAAGTGTGCGGTGTGTGCGTGTGTGGGCACATATGTGTGGTGCTTTGGGGTCCCTAGCTTTCCCAGGCTTGCGGGACCAGCAGCCCCTGGCCTGGCTGCATTTGACCCTTTTAGGCAGAGGACGAGAAGGAGGACGACCAGGAGCAGGAGACAGGACCCTGGATATGGTGCCTGGCGACCATCCCCAGGGTAGGTGTCACCTTGCAGGGCACAGCTTTGTCAGAGGAGCGCGGGGTTCAGGTAGAGCAAAGCCTTGCTCCAGAGCCACTGGACCCCAGGGAGCGGAAGCCTCCTGCCAGAGGCTGGCATGGGACCCTGGGCTCGCAGGAGAGTAGGAGATGTGCCCCCCAGTGCCTGGTAATGCTTGAAACGCCACTCTGGGGCACGGGTGTGGGCCAAGGCGGGTGGGCAGGAGCTGGCCTTGGGTGGCCCCCCCACTGTTCTGCTGCCCCTGGGCTGCGGGACCTCAGTCCCCAGCGGCCGCTGCTGTTTCTCCTCCAGACCCCGGGTCCTTCTCCAGACCCGATCCCCTGCTGGGCCCTTTGGTTTTTGCTGTTTTGTTTGTTTTGCAGTGCTGAGGAGTGAACCCACTGAGCTCCATCCCTAGCCCTTTTTACTTCTTCATTTTTCTTTTGAGACAAGGTCTCATTTGCCCACACTGGGCTTGAACATGCCATCCTCCTGCCTCAGCCTCCCAGAGTACTGGGATGACAGGTATGCGCCACCACACTGGGCCGATCTCCAGGTTGAAACACATCTATGCTGTCACCTTTTTTGGTAACACTCTTTATTCCGCCTCTGGAGGATCCCTGAGGGCTTCTTTTTGGCACCTGGTGCTCTGTGGAGCTGGCACGGAGCGTGAGTCGTAGTGACTTCACAGCAGCCCCTGAGCCCTTCATTTCTGTCCCTCTGAGACTTGGGGTGGGAGTGGCAGATCACAGGCAAACCTGGGGCGAGCACGGGAGTGCACATGGCAGTGCAAGGAGCCGCAGGGCCGCCACCGGTGTAGCCACACGCTTGAGCCCTGGCTGTGTCTGTCTCGCTGTTCGCATGCCTGCTGAGCTCCCTGAGGCTGGATTCTTCCTTGGCATCTGTACACCACTGGCCGCGGTGGTGGGCATTTCCGAATTCTTCCCAACAACTGGGCAGGAGTGGATGTGAGTTTTTCAGAATGTTCAGTCGTACTTCTTCACCACATGAAAGAACTCAGACTCCATAGCATGTTTGGGAAATTCTAAATGGTGGCCAAGCGTGGGGGTGCACGCCTGTCACCCCAGCACTCGGAGGCTGAGGCAGGAGGATCACCTGGACTTTGAGGCCAGCCTGGGCTTCATAGTGAGTTCTTGCAGTACATAGCGAGACCCTGTCTCAAGAAAGAAAGAAAGAAACTTAAACTCCCACCAGCTAAGGTACTTCATGGTGAAGGACTGAGGGCTTTCTCCCTAAAATCAGGAATGAGATGAGAGCATCCTTTCTCATGGCTCCGGCCAAAGCAATTAGACAGGAAAAAGAAATCAAATGTTTTCAGATTGGGACTTAAGAAATAAGACTATCTCTATTTGCAGATGACATGATCTTGTAGAAACCACTTTATTGATTGAGCTAATCAGGGGAATAAACAAAGTTGTTGGGCCTAAGACCAGTATAGAACAATGAATTGTCTCAAATAATCTGAAAGTGGAATTTACACTATCACTGAAGAACAAAATACTCAGGAATCAGTTTGACAAAAGAAGTGCAAGACTGGTGCTCTGAACACTTTTAAAAATATTTTTGGAAGAAATGAAAGGTGTAGGTAAATAGAAAGATAGCTGGGTATGGTGATGCATGCCTGTAGTCCCAGCACTCAAGAGGCTGAGGCAGGAGGATTCTTGCGAGTTCGAGACCAGCCTGGGCTACAAAGTGAGTCCAAGGGCAGCCTAAACTGCATAGTGAGACCCTGTCTCAAAAAGACAAAAAAAAAAAAAAAAAAAAAAGATAGCCAATGGTCAGGAATCAGAGACCTACTATTGTTACGACAGCACAGCTCCCAAATTAATCTTCAAATTCAAATGAGCCCAGGCAAAATTCCAGCTGGCTTCTTGTTTTCTTGTTTTTTGTTTGTTTATTTGTTTGAGACAGGGTCTCACTATTTCAGCCTTCACTATTTCTCAGTAGTTCAGCCTGGCCTCAAACATGTAGTATCCTCCTGCCTCTGCCTCCTGAGTGCTAGGATTATAGGGGTGAGCCACCATGCCCAGCCTCTAGCCAGCTTCTTGGCAGAAATTGATGAGCTGATTCTAAAATCTTACAGAAGAGCAGTGGTGGAGCACTTACCTAGCCTGGGGGAGGTGTTGGGTTCCATCCCTAGAACTAAGAAAGTGAAAGGAAAATCAGTAAAATGAAATTCATATGGAAACTCAGGGGGCCCAGCACAGCCAGCAATCTCGAAAAGAAGAACTTCAGTGCGAGAACTCACACTTCCTAACTTCAGAACTTACCACAGAGTAGCAGTAATGAAGATAGTATAATAGTGGCAGAAGGATAAACAGACATGCAGGTCCGTGGAATGAAATGGATTGTTCAGAAATGAACCTTCACCCTGGGCCTGGTAGCACACACCTGTAATCCCAGCACTCAGAAGGCTGAGGCAGGAGGATCACTGTGAGTTCCAGGCCAGCCTGCACTACGTAGTAAGAGCCTGTCTCAAAATCTTTAAAAAAGGGCTGAGGATGTAGCTCAGTGGTAAAGCACTTGCCTGGTGTGTGCAAGGCCCTGGGTTCCATCCCTAGTGCTTTCAAAAAACCAAACTAAACCAAAAAAAGCCTACAGAATAGGAGAAGATACTTGCAAAATAAGTGTATTTCCTCTACTTGAATCTAGCATATGTAAAGAACTCTCACAACTCAATGATAGGACAACTCATACAGTGTAGGCAAAGGACTTTCTCCAGCACTATCAGTCGCCGTGCGTCCAAACCGCTCCCACCCGCCAGGACTGCGGGAGTCAGTCAGCAGAGGATTGCAAGTGCAGACAGGCTGTGGAGAAACCAAAGCCTCGTCCACTGCCGGAGAAATGCAAACAGCTGCTTTGGACAACGCCTGCCAGTTGCCCAAGAGTTTATACCAAGGGCCACCATGTGACCCTGGATTGTACTCCAGGGTGTATCCCCGCAAAGACGAAAACTTGTGCTTATGTAGCATTATGCATGGTGCCTCAAAGCAGAGAGGGCGGGAGCATCAAAGAGCTGAGGGATGGACAGAGAATGCAGTCTGTTGCACAATGGGGCTGTATCTGGCAGTAGAAAGAAATGAAGGAGTTCAGATTCGCCCCTTCTCATTCTCTCTCTTGTTTTTTGATACAGTATATAGTACAGGCTTCCTTGACCTCACTATGTAGCCAAGGTTGGCTTTGAACTCCTGGAGACCCTCCTGCCTCAGCCTTCCCGCATGCTGGGATGACAAGTGTGCACCTCCATGCCTGGCTGGGTCCTACATTTTGGGATATGTGAATTGTATGACATGTAATTATGTCTCAATAGAGACATTATGTTAAAACCCACAAATTTAACACCAGGAGTGCTGCTCACTGCCCACGTCCCCAGCCTCTGCCTTCCTTCCAGTCCCTCATCACACTGCTCAGGGTGTGGAGTGCACCTTGAGAGGCTGAGGCAGGGGGATCATGAGATGGAGCCCAGTCTGGGCATCGTAACATCTTACCGTGGTCCTGTGTCCAAAGAAAAATAAAAAGGGCCGGAGATGCAGCTCCGTGCGAACCCGGCTTCCATCCCCGGGGCCGCAGAACAAAGCAACAGCAGGTGCCTCGCTCTCTTAACCGAAGTGGCTGAGACTGGCGCTCTGGGCTTCAGCCTGGCCACCTGGATGGACTGCTCCCGAGGGAGCTGTGGCGTTGAGCACACCCTGCCGAGTCCCGAGTGGCCGTCACACCCCTGGAGGCCGAGCAAGCCAGGGCAGGCAGCCCCCAGGCCTCTGGGATCTGGGTCACTGGTTGCGCTGCACTCAGCCCAGCGTCAGGCTGGGCCCCAGGGAGGTGAAGGAGGGAGCCAGGCCTGGTGCCACCCTGGAAGAGGAGCTGGTGCAGCCTTTGGTCCACCTGCCTTCGAACCAGATGCTCAGGCCTCCAGTCCTCTGGACTCCACAGCAAACGGAAAGGAGCCTTGTGGTCCTTGCCAACTGCTAATCCCCTTAAGACTGAGTATGGTTCCTGACATTAAAAAGACAAAAATCAGAGCTGGGCGTTGTGGTGCACATCTGTCATCCTTGCACTCTGGGAGGCTGAGGCAGGAGGATAGCATGTTCATGCCCAACCTGGGCAACTTAACAATTTAGGGAGACCCTATCTGCGAAAAGTAAACACAAAAAGGACTGAGGATGTAGCACCAAGCAGAGCCCTGGGTTCCATCCCTGGTGCCTCAAAAAAAAAAAGAACGAGTTGGACACTGAATACTGAACTCCCTGAGGTCTGCATGGTCACCTCTGTGAGAAGAGTGGGTGGAGTCCGGGTGACCAGGTGGAGCTGGCGCAGCACTGACGTCCCAGGCAGTGGCAAGCGACAAGGACCATCCCCAGCTTTGCTGTTGCTGTGAGGTGACCTCAGGGTGGGGCGGGGCGGGGTGGGCCGGTGACTCACCTTTCTGAACCTCAGCTTTCATGTCTGTTAATGGGAGAATCTGTGCTCCACCCCCACCAGCCATCAGGGAACCAGTGAGGGTCTGCGCAGTTGTGCAGGGCTCAGGGCCTTTTGTGCATGCAGAACCCCATGGGCAAGAGCGGTACACTCGGGACCCCTGGCTTGTAATCTCAGTAGGCTGTTCTATAAACGAACTCCTCTCCCAGCACAGAAGCCCGTCACCCTCTGCCCCCTGCTGTGGAGACGCTGCTCCCTGTTCCAGACAGTAGGATGGAAATGATCAAGTTTCAAGGAGGCTCAGCGTCTGAGACAGTTTCCTTTTTCATCTGTTTATTGTAGGAAGTTTCAGACATACAGATGTAATAAAAATTGTGAAATGCTGGGCATGGGGGCACGTACCTGGAATCTCAGCAATCAGGAGGCTGAGGCAGGAGGATTGCCTTGAGCTTGAAGCCAGCCTGGGCTACATAGTGAGTTCAAGGCCAGCCTGAGCTACAAAGGGAGACCCTGACTCAAAAAATAAAACCAAACCAAACAAAAAAATAAAAATTGTAAAATGAAGGGTGACAGAAGTGAAGGAGATGGCGGAGTTGCCCCGATGCTTGGACCGGGCTCTGAAGGGGACAGGACTGCTGTTGGACACCCAGTAGGGCAGCGGAGCCACATGAGTGTGACCCACAGCTCCCCTCCGATCAGACCCTGGCTCTGAAGCACATCCGGGCTTCTGCTTGCTTCTAGGACTAAAGTTTTATTGGCGCGGCTGCACCGTTCATGCGTGCGCCATTGTCTCCGTCTGCACTGCGCATGAGCGGAGTAGAACAGCTGCTGGGGCAGAGACCGAGGCTACAGGGCCCTGACTGTTGACACGCTGCCTTTTGTGGAAGGTCCGCTGACCCTGGTCTGGAATGTGGAGAGACGTTTGAGATGGTTTTTATGCTAACTGGTTTTGTAAAGCAACCGCCCATCGGCTCTGGGTTTGCATTCCTCCGGGGATGGGGAGCTCACCCCACCCCCGGCCTTTCACTGGCCTGCAGCTGCGTTGTGCAATCCCTCCTCCCTGCTCTCGTCCGACTGTGGCTCAGGATCTCACTTCCACCCGCGGGCTCAGCCCTTCAGGCCCGATCCCCCCCTCCCTTCCATTCCTCAGATGCCTTCCCAGGGTCGCAGGTGAGAGGTCTGCTGGGATCCCGGGCCACCCTGTCCTTACTGTAAGAGAACAAGTCACTGCTTGCTTGGGGCAGAAGCCCCAGCTGCCCTGGCCAAGCAAACGCCCGGGTAGGGCCCACCGCCTCCCATGTTCCCTTGCCAGGGTGCCTCTCAGGGACTCTGCTATCCGGTTACAGAGTGGGACACGGAGGCAGCAGGGCTCCCAGTGCACAGCCCAGGCTTCAGGGGCAGGACTCAGCCAGGTCTGTGGGCTGTTCACATTCTTCCTGTTAACCCAGGCTGCAAGATGGGACAGGAAGGTCAGGTCCTCAAAAACTTTCTGCTGGTGCACACTTAGGATCCAGTTACTCGTGAGCTGAGGCAGGAGGATTGCAAGTTCCTGCCCAGCCCAGGCAATTTAGCAATTTAGTGAAACCCTGTCTCAAAAACTAAAAAGGGCCAGGCATGGTGGCGCACGCCCGTAATCCCAGCACTCGGAAGGCTGAGGCAGGAGGATTGTTGCCAGTTCCAGACCAGCCTGGGCTGCAAAGTGAGCTCAAGGCCAGTCTGAATTGCATAGTGAGACCCTTTCTCAGAAAGACAAAAAAAAAAAAAAACCAAAAAACCAACTAAAAAGGGCTACCACTCACCTGCCTCTCTGTGCCCTGGGCTCCAGGGTACCGCTGTGGGACGCCAGTCCAGGCTTGCTTGGCGGGTGAAACTGGAGGTCACAGACCCTTCCTACCCAGGTTGTCAGCTGCCTTGGTTGTTGTCTTTTCCGTCCACCTTTTTTTCTCGTTGTCCTGCAGTGTTTCCTCATCCGGCTGTGACGTGGCCTGGCCGGGAGGTAGTGAGCCAGCCTTCTGGCAGAGGTTGACCTGGATGGAGCCTGGCACAAAGGGCGGGGTTCTTCCAAATGCACGATCCCTCCCCAGCGGGCGTTTGGAAAACACTGTGATTTAGTGCTGCTGTTTTCTCATCCAAGGTTTTTTATTTTGAGACAGAGTCTCACTAAGTCAGTGAATTGCCAAGGCTGAGCTCGAGTTTGTGATCCTCCTGCCTCAGCCTCCCAGTGTGCTGGGAGGATAGGGGTGCACCATTGTGCTTGTCTAGGCAGGGCCCTCTTTACCACCCCGGAGGAATTGCTGGAGGTAGGGAGAATGTGTGGCTTCGTTTCTGGCTAAAATTGGGGCCGAGCTCCTCAGCGAGTCTGGTCCCACTGTAATCAGCGGAATGCTCGAGGCATGTGGGGCTGCTTGAGGCAGGTGGGTCTGGCGTCTGCGTAGAGAGCGAGGAGGGGACCAGAGTGGATCTGGAGCAAGCGAGCAGGGTGAGCAGCACCTCTGTCTGCTGCGGAGTCCCTGGTGGCTTGGAGGGCAGAGGCACGAGGCCAGGTGGGGCCCCGCTTGGGCAGCTCTGGGTAGCTGCTCATAGGAGATGTGGCCCCGGGCCCTGGCTCCGGAGATTGCAAAGCAGGAGCTGAAATGAGGGGAAAGGGCTTCTAGGCTGGGTCTTCATTCATGGCCTCTTCTCTTCACCCCTACTCAATATCCCTTTGGAACTAACTACCTTCTTCTCTCCTTCCCTCCCTCCATTCCTTCCTTTTTTTTTTCTTAAGGCAGGATCTTGATTAATGCCCAGGCTGAACTGGAACTTGGGATCCTCCTGCCTCAGCCTCCCAAAGTGCTGGAATTACTGGCTTAGACTTCCTTATTACCTTGTTGCTTACCCGCCGGTGGTGTTCACTGAGTGGGCACCTGCGGGATGCCTGTTGTGCCCTGTGTTGGGAGGGGCGGGCACAGGTGGATCCTAGGCCAGGAATGAGCTGGCGTTTGCGTGGGGCCCATGGTCTGGTGAGGACAGTCTACGCAAGTCAGGTGTTGCTGTCCCTGGAACCCAGTCGGTTGCCCTCATGGAAGGGCGGAATCCCAGCCGGGATCGTGATGACTCGAAGCTGTAGGGGTGAAACCGTCCTGTTCAGGGACCTGAGAGTCGTACGAGGGAGGTGGCAGGTGCGTGCCAGGCCATCCTGTAGGGGCTGGAGATGGGGGACGGGGAAGGACACCCCGGGTCCTGGCTCCCGAGCGGCCAGGCCGGCATCCTGGGGAGCGAGTGCGGTGAGGGGGGTGGGGAATGAAAGTTCTCTGCTCCTCCCTGCGCACTGTCCCGAGAGGGGCTTGGGCTTTCATCCCCTGGGGACAGCTGAGCCCGGCCGGTGAGAGGAGCCGCTGCCAGGCAGCAGCTGCTCGTCCCGGCCCTTATCTCGGATGAGTCTGTGCAGGGAGGCCAGGCCCCGCAGCTGGGCAAGATGCCACTTGGTTTAGATTTCTTTCTCTTACTGTTTTATGAGACAGGGTCTCGCCCTATAGTGCAGGCTGGCTTGATCCTCCTGCCTCCCGAGTACTGGCATCACATGTGTGTACCACCACACCTGGTTCCTAATTCACTTTAAATCATGGTGTGGTTTCCCAGGTCTGGCTCAGGAACGGCGATGGCTGGCATCAGGGCAGCCTTATGCCTGAGCTCTGGGAACCTGGCCCTGCAGGCTCCGGGGTCAAGGTCAGCAGGCTGGGACTGGTGAGTGAGCATGCAACTTCGAGGTGACATTTCAGGAATTGAATTACTGACATTTCAGTAGTTGCAGAATCCAGGAATAGCTTATTTGATTATATCTGTTGGAAGTCACTGCCACCACCCGCTTGGTTTTCATAGCCCACAGCCAAGCCGGGTGGGGACCGTGGCAGGAGGATGTTGTGACGACTTGGTTTTCCCAAAAGCACATCTGCCAAGCTGGCGGTGGCTGTGGCTTTGCTTCTGGTGTGGGGCAAGCCCGAGGGCTCCTGGCTGGTCCTGGGCCCCTGCTAGCAACTGCCATGCTGTGCCCGTGACTTGCCAGGCTGCTCAGACTGAAAAGCCATGTGGTGCCCCAGAGAGCCATGCGGTTCTGCGTGTGAAGCCACCTAGCATGTGTGGCTGATCCTGAGTCCCAGCCTTGCCCTATGGGGCCTTTGGGCCAGGGCTCCCCCATCCTGATGGCCCTAGGTCCCCTAGGACCCTTCTCCAGACCTTCCCTGGCCTGCAGAATCCATGTAGGTCCCAGGACGCCCTTTGGGTCCCAACACGGTGTCCACATCTGGAGCCCATAGTAGTTTTGGGGCCAGGAGGGGGAGGCTGGGGTGAGCTGAATGTGGATACTCAGTGTTGCTGAGCCGGGGCTCTGGCTTCCTGGCTGCTTCATAGCGCAGGCTGCAGGGCCAGCACTCGTGTGCACCTGTCCCAGGCCAGGAGCAATTTGAAGGACAGCAGAACAGCACCTTGCACGGGTGAGGGAAGGCTGGGAGGAGTACCTGAGGGCTTCCTGGAGGAGGTGGTATTAAGCCAGCAAGCTCTGTCCTTTAGACAATGCCACTGATTCTCTGTCTTTCTCCTTAGCTATTACAAGTTTGTTTTTTTGAGACAGGGTCTCCTTGTTTAGTTTAGCCCAGACTTGAACTCATAGCAATCCTCCTGCCTCAGCCTCCTGAGTGCTGAGATTATAGGAATGTGTGCCCCACACCCAGCCCACCAATTCCCTTTTAATGAAATGAACATGAAGCCGGATGTGGTGGCACATGCCTGTAATCCCAGCACTTGGAGGAAGATCGTTGTGAGTTCGAGACCAGCCTGGGCTACAAAGTAAGCTCTAGGCCAGCCTGAACTGCATAGGGAGACCCTGTCTCAAAAAGACAGAAAAAAAGAGAGAAATGATCATGAATTTGGGCCACAAGGGGAAGCCAAAAGTGAGCCTAAGAGAGGCCTAGATTCAGACCAGAACTAGTTCTTCTTCAAGGAGTATAACTTAGAGCTGTGAGAAACGAGGAGGCCGTGGCCTCCCTCGGCCGCCCCCGTTATGTCCTTGAAACTGCCTTGCTCCTTGCAATGTGCTTCTGGGCATCTTGGAAAAAACAACTTTGCCAGTCTATAAATAGTCTTATCTCAGCGTGCAGGCGCCTACCTGGGCCACTTATCTTCTAGACGTGCCCGGGTCAGACCCCGGGCCGGGAAGCACAGGCGGGCTTGGCCTTCTGCCTGCTGGGCCCACGCGTCCTTCGTAGAGGCCAGGGGATGCCTATGAGGCCTCCTGTTTCCGTTCCAAAATCTTCCTTTCCCTTTGACAGGGAGTGGTCCCCGCTCCCCACGGCTGGCCTCGGCGCCACCATCCCTTCCAGTCCGATCAGCCCTGGGGAACAGGGGGCTCCACTTGTGGAGAAGAGGGTGGAGAAGTAGCCCGTGTTCGCCTACCTGTGCCTGCAGGTCCCCACACGCACCTGGTCCCCTCCTGCGTCTGTGGGTCCTGGCAGGCACCATGGGGCATGCGCAGAATGTGGCGGGTGGGTGGTGGACTTAGGCTGTCCCGCCCGCTGCGCTGTGCCTTTTCTGTGAGTTTGTTCCCGCTGTAAGTGTCCTGACCCTCACTGCAGAACCGTGGCCCCTGGGGGAGCCCTTGGTGGGTGCTGGCAGCAGGAGGGATGAGGCACAGGCACGAGGCAGGGTGGACACGGTGTTTCGGGTGGCGTCCCTGAAGGTACCGCTCCTTGGGAACCCAGGCGCCTGGCCGCCAGGACAAGCTCTGAATGATACGGTGACCACGCGCGTGGGCCATTGCAGGGCACAGGAGCCCCCTGAGGCTGTGATCCAGGTGCCCGAGCCCCTGCTGCTGCCAAGCCCAGGTGTGAACCTCTGTGGAGTGGCAACCTGCTCCAAAGGACTGTGGTTCAGATTCTGACTTGGCCACCGGTATGTGGCTGCCCTGCGCTGGCCAGACATTCCACCTCTGGAGGGCGAAGGGACCCATGTGGGAATCACAGACTTGGACGCAGTATGGGCCCAGCTGTGGGACTGGGAGCCACCACCATGCAAGGGCCGGGGAACCGGCCTGGTGTGCCCCAGCGGTGCCCCTGAGTGGCAGCGCTGTGGAGGACAGGGCGGGATGCCAGGGCGGGGCTCGGCTCTGTGACAGCTCAGGGGACGCAGTGCGCAGCCTGGGCCCCCTCGGGACTCCGCGCTGTGTGAGTGCAGCTCTCGTTTCTGTCCCGAGTGGAGCCGCCGTGCGGCCCCAGCCTGGCTGGGAGCCAGGGCCGCCTTGTGCACCCGCCGTGGTCCTGAGCCTGCGCCTGTGGAATCTGTCACCAGCCGGCCTGATTTTAGTCTCGCTTCTCCGAGTCAGATCACCTTCAGTGGCCCAGGGATCAGCAGTCTTAGGTTTCTGTGGCCCAAGCCTCAGGAGGCTGAGGCAGGCTGGGGAGGGGAATCTCACTGCGATGTCACACTGGGTGAGGCCGATGGGTGAGCATAGCGCTGGGGCACAGCGGACCCGCACCGTCACCGAGGCAGGCAAGGTACGGCAGCTGGCCTTGTGCACTGCCCAAGGCCCCCGTGCCTTGCCATCCTGCCCGCCTGCGTGGACAGTGCCATGGGTCCCATCGCTTCCCCCACTGTCAGCACGGTGCAGACGCAGTGATAGCTGCTCCCGTCCCTGCTCCAGCCACTGAGTCCTGAGGCTGCGGGTGCAGAAGGACGCTTGTCATGACCCCTGGCCAGCAACGGCCAGCCTGGAGAGCCGCGTCCCGGTGGGATGGACAATGGCCGAGGGAGGGGACAAGCGGCCTGAGGGCTGGCGGGTGGGCGGCCTGGGATGAGGTGTCCACAAGGAAACCAAGGCCTGGGGCGCAAGGGGCGGCCAGGGCTGGGCCCGGCAGGTTCTGCGCTCGCAGCTCCTCGTGGAGCCCCATGAATAAGGCATGAGGAGGCCGGGCCTGGAGGTCTCTCCCTTCTCATCTGACTCGGTAATAGAAAAATTAAAATTTAAAGTGTCCTGCAGGGGCGAGTGACAGCAGCGTTCCTAGAAACCGGAGGTTGGGTTCCGACGGTCTCAGTGTCAGGCTCCCAGGAGTGGGTTTTGCCTGCTTCGGCCTCGGAAGCCAAAGACGGAGCAGCCTGGGGTCTCCCCGTTTTGTTCCCGAGGCTGGACATCGGGTGCCGGGGTCCTGGGGACTCGCCCTCCCTGCATTCAACCTGCAGGACTGCAGAACAAAGTAAGTGAATTAATTAATTAAAAATAAATAAATAAACAGGGCTGAAGGTGCAGCTCAGGACAAAGG